GTCTTGAATAGAATCGTCCAGTAAGCCGCCAATAAACCCAAGAGAATTTGCAGACCATAAAATGAAGCTTATTATAATTCCTACCTTCTTTTATAAATTTCAATTATAAACAAAAAATAATCGCACCAATAAAGCTGATTGACAGAAAATAGGAAGGGACTGCTTGAAGTTAGCACAGATATCATAGGAATGGGATTAGCTTTTCTGTTAGCACAAAACACAATATTTAGTTTGCCGGACAGAAAGAGAAAGAAAGACAGAGGAAGAAAAGACAAAGCAGAGAGTGCCAACTACTTTTTAAATAAAAAATAGTAAAAACTAAAACTGGAGATAAAGCAAATTAATAAAGAAATTAAAATAGAATAAGTAATTATTTAACTATAAACTAATAAAGATGTGACGTTTATAACGTTACAATATAATGATTCAAATTTTTAATTTAAATATGTACAAATCTACAAATAATATAATTAAAAATTTCTTATAAACTATTAATAAAATTAATTAAAAGCCAATCACCGGGGAAGAAAGCCCAAAAATTGTAAGGTGTTTCGATCAAAAAATAGTTCCCGATCTTGTTAGTACGGTAGAATTGCTTTTTAGCACATACAACAAACAATTATTTTTGTGAAAGAAAATTCGAAATTGTTAAGTATAATTTCGGCTTTTTAAATTACAAAATTAATAAGTAGGTTCCAAATAACGCCTCACTAGAGCTTAACAAAGGAAGATGAGAAAAAAGGCAAAAATAACTACTGCGACATGGACCATAACAAATTCTAAGAAAACCAAATCAGCAACACTCGAGGATAAAAAGAGACAAGGAGCTCTAACGAGCAGTTTAGGTCGTAAAGGACCGTGCCAAAGTATTCAGAATGGTGGTAGCACACAGACACCATCCTGATACTCAACTAGATCGGACTCAAGCAAATTTGATCATTAACAAACAGAAGCAAGCACTTAATGGGCTCCTATCGAAGGTCAAAATGAACTTCTACAGTTCCATAAAACATCGTTTAGCGAAGGGACCCTATGGGTGAACTGTGTTAATGGATAATGGAAGTTTGGTACTTTCGGTGAAATGGAAAATTTCAAAATTTAGTAAAAAGTTTCATTGAATACTTTTTTAAAGAGGACAATTGTTCAATGAAATAATTTCGAAGATAGTCTAAAAAGTTTAATGAAAAGTACTGAAAAAATGCAATTTTTAGTTGAATATATTTTGAAAAGTTTTAAAAATGTTTCGTAAATTTTTGGGCGGGAAAACAGTACAATACAAAGTTATGTGACGGTTTTTCGTAGTGTTGGAACAAACCTATTTTTAATTCAAAGTTATAAAATTTCATTTACATGTATTTTTCATTTAAAATTAAAACTTTAAACAATTTAATATATTAAAAATAAAGATTTTATTGTGTATAAAACAAAAAAAAAGACAGTTTGCAAACCAATGGCGTCGAAATTTGATTAAGCGTGGATGTATAAGTTAAATAAATAGTTTCGTTCATATTCCTTTTCACTTTCCCCTAACTATATCTTTCATGATGGTTTTAAGCCGACGGCCACAGTTTAAGTTTATGCAATCGTCCTTTTAAGGATTGTTCTGAAATATAATAATCGTAACCAAATCGCCTACTTAAACTGTTTTTCTATACGCGTCTATATTCTTTGGTATTGCCAATAAGAAAAATGTTTCAAACATTATTGGGAGTACCATTAATTAAAGTGAAATCCCATTTTTTTACGGGATTATCCGTAGTATTAAATTGAACAGCATTTCTCCTGATTTAAAAAGCGGAAGTATAAATATTCTAAAAAAATACCAACTGTACTTTTCACGTTCATTTAAAAGATTAAGATTTTCAAATATTTGAATAAGCTTTTAAAACATTTGTTAATAATATTTTATTCATATTTTATTTATTTAAAGTTACAAGGTGTGTACTCCTGTCATGTCAGATAAATATTTAAAACTGTTGATGTTGCCATGGTAACTTTAAAACAAAGCAAAATGGGGTACCAATAAAAAAAATACATACCAACGAACTAATATGTAGAGCTAAAGAATATGAAATACCGCTAGCATTAAGCTTCATAGATTTCGAGAAGGCTTTCAATTCTATATATCCCAAGGTAGTAATAGATGTTTTGACCAACCAAGGCATTGACATGTAGCATCTTACATAGAATGCTTTTTTCTAATTTAATATAAATAACTTAACACCATTTTTTGCTAAATCTCAGAACATCGTATCCAACAATCAACCCATCTATTATCATTCACTACCTTTTATACCATCATTAACTCCTAAATTAATACAAACACTAAAAGTTATTGACAATATAAAAATAGCAACAAAGAACATCAAAACCATTTCACTTTTATATTCCAAAACTAAATATCCTATAGACAAATTAGATCAAACAAATGTAGTATACAGTATTAGTTGTACTCAGTGTGAAGCTGACTATGTTGGTGAGACTGGAAGAAATATCTCAAATCGCATTATTTCTCACAAAAGTGATTGCAGAATTAAGAAACCATCTTGTGCTTTGGCAGAGCATGTAATAGACAAAGACCATATTATGGATTTTGATAATATTAAAATTGTATGTAGTGAAAGTAATAAATTCAAAATCTAAGCAAAATTTATAATTATATTATTTCTATGTAGTTTATATATGAAATCAGTTATCACATTTTGAATTTTCCATGTATTTGTTACATTTTTTCAGGCATCTATCAATGATGACTAAATCTTCTTATGAATGACTTGCTTCAACGATGACTTGCATCATCGGAAGTAGACCCGCTGAGCTCTCTTGTTTAAAACAAGCCCTAATCCAAAACGGTTACCACAAAAATCACATCAATAGAAGCATTCACAGACATCAATCTCCCACTCATTCTCAACAAAAGACTCAGACCCTTATCATACGAAAGCTTTTCTTCCTTATATCAAAGGTGTCACTGACAAAATCGACAGAATTCTGAAACCAAGAGGAATAAAAACAATATTTACTCCCCAACAAAAACTTTATCTCTTATCCGATCTATCAAAGACAATATTCCAAATGAACAATACGGAGTTTATAAAATACCTTGTGCAGACTGTCCCCGATCCTATATAAGCCAAACAAATCGTAGAATCCAAAATAGGATTTATGAACACTCCATTTCTGTTCTCAATTCTGACTTAATTTCAGCTCTCGGTCAACACCATCTTCATACAGGTCATAAAATTGATTTTGAAAACTCCAGAACCATAGCCCCCATCCGCTTCTATAAACCAAGAATTATCCGAGAAGCAATAGAAATAGAAAAAAGGCCAAATTGTCTTAATAAAACAGATGACGCCATACGGTTACCTTCTACATGGAGACCTCTCATAAAGAAAATATCGCCCCCTCCATCCTCGAATCAAAATTCCACAGTCGGAAATGTTCGCGCCGACTCTCGCGCGAAACCCAGCGCCAACTCTCGCACCAACCCCCATCCCAACTCCCACCTAGGCCACGCCATCATCGACATCGACGGTATAAATGAACCGTCTCCTGTTCCCAGCCGTAGTGACAGTGCAGTGATCAGTGAACAGTGTAGTAGTGTCTGGGGGCTCGGGAGACTGAGACCTCGGAAGCCCTGAGGAAGGCATCAGAGAGGATGCCGAAAGCTCGGCAAAATGGATATCGACGTGGTTCAACCCGGAAGACTGATGAGTTTGATATTAATTTCAGTATTAATATTAATCTTAGCTCTAGGTTTCATATATATATATATATATATATATATATATATATATATATATATATATATACATATATATATATACATATATATATACATATATATTTAAAAATTTAAAAATTTAATGGATTAACCTCATGTTGTAAGTTTTTATACTAGTTTTATACAATCGTTATTAATTCTAATTTCAATGTATTTACTGATACCATATTTTAGCATATCCTAAAGAAGCAAATAAATTTTGCGAAAGCTTGATAATAGAACAAAAGTTTTACTTATCGTGCCCTATTAATGACTTCAACCTCAAAATAAAACTTTATTTTACATAACGTGTCAGTCAATAAAACTTTAAATATCTAGGCATCACATTATCTAGCTACGAAAAGCTCGAAACTAAAGTGGAAGATCAAGTGAGTAGAGCAAATAGAGCCGCAGGCTGCCTAAATGAAACAATATGGAGAAATAAAAATATCGGGAAAGAGGCGAAAGGCAGAATTTACAAAACAGTCATCAGACCAATAATGACATACGCGACAGAAACAAGACCTGACACAGAGGGGACAAAAACATTTAGAAAAATTGATGGTAAGACCTATGGGACAGAGCTAGAAATATAGATATACGACATAGATGCAAGGTTGAGAACATCAAAAACTGGATAAGAAATAGAAGAGTAGAATGTAACGATTATATAAGCCGAATGACCACAAATAGAGTAGTAAAGACTGCAAGAGACGGTTCCCTAATAGGAAGACGATCAGTAGGAAGACCACGAAAACGCTGGAATGACAACTTAATACTGGAGGTACATTGAAAAACAGAGAGAGAGTCATGTCTATATAAAAAGAAGAAGAAGAAGAAGTCATTTGAATGACATTTGTCAACTATTACTGTCACTTATGTTTCAATGCATCTAACTATCAACTGCCACCAAAGCGGCCACTATACTACTCGCGAAGTTGATCGAAGTTCAGCGAGTACGAGAGTGTAGACAGGTACTTCATACGACTTCGCTTAGCCTCATTCTACTTCTGTTCTGTGTCGGTCTTTCGCGCCCGAGTCAAAGGGCCCGAAGTTCGAATATGAAGTGTCACACTACATTACTCGACTTCACGAGTATGTATAGAGTCACCTCGCCTCGATTAACTTCACTTCGACACTTCGTCCGAAGAACTTCGATCGAGAGAATAGACGGCGTTTAACAGTTTAAGAGTTAAATTCTCGCAACGTAATATTTAAAATTATCTGTACTTACATATCGCGGATTGCCAGATGGGAAAATACTTTTGTTCTGGGTGCTGTTTCACAAAATTATCCTTCAGTGCTTTGTATGTGATAATCCTCGTTCCTGAGTATATCATATGTCTGACACAGGCTGCGTGGACACCTTGCCATAATTTTCTGAGACCCTCTTCTCTGCTGATCCCAATTGCCGTCTTTACCATTCCTCTGTGCGGTGCCTTTAACAAAGGAATTGGAAGAATATAAAATATACCACTACTATATTTTAAGATTATTTTGATTACGTTAGGTTAATGTAGGGATGTCCTTAAAAATATTGACGAAACCTGTATATAGGGAAAGTAAAGCGGTGTTGCCAATTAGTTCTTAAAGACAAGCGTAGAATCTTAAATGTTGATTGTGGCACAAAAAATCAAAGAAATCAAAATTATATAGAATATAGTTCTCCCCATTTTTGTTATGACGTAAAGTTAATAATAAACGACATAATTCAACAATTATACTTATAGTCACTATTTTCCCTCTTAATTCTGAAAATATCGACCGCACGAAAAAATGCAAGAAGTGCAAGAAAAAATTGTAGGAAATCGTAATTGCAACAATCTAAGTCTGTACAATTTTGTCGAAAAATTTAACGAGATATTGAACAAAAACAATTCCTGTATAACCAATTTCCGCAAGATTTTACGCTTGCCTACCACATACGTACGACCTCAAATCTTGATTTAAGCAAAAAAAAATTAAAGAGATCAAAATTGTACACAATATAATTCTCTCTATTTTTGTCTGTGAACACTCATGTCGTAAAGTTAATAATAAACGAGATAAATGGATAGTTCAAAACATGGCCAAAACTCCCGGAAAAAAAGTTTTTTTATAGAGTTTTTCGATTATCAAATTGTCTACCGGAACGTTGGCACTATTGGATTCCGGTCAGAGAAACAGCCGGCCGATTCATTTTCAAGTTGCAGAGTAGGTCCAATACGGCATGTTTATGTTAGTACGGCGTGCCAGCTTAGCATAAAAGGTAATAAGTCTACAAACGTTGAACAACTTTTTCTTTACAGTGATACATCAGATATAAAACTGAATGATATGAATACTGTTTCTCCATGTATGTACTTTAGTTTTCTCTATGTTTTACAATTTTAAAAAAATATAGTAACAACAGTTTGTTTATAAACAACTTCTAATCAAAAATATGTAAAAATAAAACGAAAATTCATTTCAACTATGGTCTGTCCCTCCTTGACTTTACAGTACACGAACATACGGCAATGTAATCCTTATGGGAGTTCTTAGCGCGGCGATGCCGATTTTCTAAATCGGATGTCCTAAAAATGTAGGGCAATAAAAATGTTAAATTAAAACTAACCCGTTATACTCAATAGCATTGTAGTAAAACAATATCCAGTATTTCAGTTATAGGCGCGCTGCCAGTCGATAAGAAGCCTAGAATCATAGCTCTTGTATGTGTAAAAGTGCATATAAACATTTTGTGGCCAGTTGAAAATTTTAGGCGTCAAAAGTAAGTTTTTTAACATTTCATCATATGGTAATTTAACCCTCAAAACAAAGAGTGTTGCTATTCGTGATTTAATGTAATAATCTAAGATGTTTATAGGCTAAATGTCATATTTAGTTACAAGGTATATGCATTGTAAACTGACGACGTAATTTTTTCGAGCCCAGGGTCGGTTGGGGCAGATTGGCCAAATAGACGGGGGCAGATTGGTACAGTGTACCAAACTGTCCCACGTGTGGTACATTGTACCAATCTGTTCCATTTATTGAGTTAAAACTCTAGTAAAAATGTTGGTACAGGTTTTGTTTTTTTTTACAGATGGTAAGAAATTACAAACGAAAAACAAATCGTGCAGATATAAATGCTGGAAATATAAAGAAAGCCGTATGGGAAGTAATTAAAAATAAAACAACAATTAGAAATGCCGTTTTAACGTTCAACATATCTAAAACCACTCTTCATAAACATGTGAAAAAATTAAGGTCTAAAACACAACATTTACAAATTGATGATTCAGCAAATGAATCACTTAGTGAAGGCGATTCCCCACATACGTCAAAATATGCATCCAGACAAGTCTTCACAGCAAAAGAAGAAGCTGAATTGGAAAAGTATTTTTCAAAGTCGTCAGCAATGCATTTCGGCTTAACGTATTCTAACGCCTGGTCACTGACCTATCAGTATGCTGTAGCCCTAAAAACCAACTTTCCTCCAAACTGGTCTGAACATCAGCAAGCAGGCAAGGAATGGATGAGAGGATTTATGAAACGTCATCCTAACTTATCTTACAGGAAACCCGAAAACGTTAGTATTTCTAGGATATCTGCCTTTAATCCAGCAAATGTAAGAGTATTTTTTGAAAATTATACTGTGGTTCAAGCAAAATATAAATTTTCTCCAGATCGAATAGTAAACCTGGACGAAACAGCAATAACAACAGTATTGCAGACACCAAAAATTATTTGTCAGAGTGGACTAAAGCAAATTGGCCAATGCGTATCTGCTGAAAGAGGAAACTTAGTAACGTTCTGCGGTATTATTACAGCGACTGGTTCAACTGTTCCTCCTGTGTATATATTTCCGAGGGTGCATATGAAGGATCATGCAATGCTCCAAATCACGAAATTTATACATGTACAAAATTTCTAAAGTTGTCTGTACTTAAACGAATCGATTTAGTAAAAAGATCCAATTTGTGCAATAACTGTCTAAATCGTGGGCATCAATTAAACAGTTGCAACTTTGGTCATTGCAAAAAATGCACTGTAAAGCATCATTCTCTGTTGCATCATACAGAACCTTCTACATCTGAGACACATGCACAACAGTCTCTCTTCACATTCAGTTCAAGTTCGAAACAGGTGCTTTTATCTACTGTTTTATTAGAGGTTGTTGATACAAAGGAAAATCGTCATGACTACAGAGCACCTTTAGATCCAGAGAGCCAGTAGAAATTTATTAGTTTAAATTTATGCCATAAACTTGGATTACCGAGAAAGCCTACAAATATCACAATTTCAGGGGCCTTTAAGGTGGAATCTACAATTCAATCCATTTGTGAAATCCAGATTTTCTCTAAAAACACTCCATTTACAGCTCCTCTAGTCTGTTTAGTAGCTCCAGAAATATGCGATATCGTACCTGAAGCTCCTATTGACATGATGTCTCTTTCGATACCTTCATGTCATAAATTAGCAGATCCTGATTTTCATATTCTCAAACAAATTGATCTTCTCATAGGTGCTGATTTGTTTTGGGAAACACTATGTATAGGACAAATTCGTCTTATTCAGGTCCATTTCTTCAGTTTCTTCATTTCTTTCACTTTCTAAAACCAAGTTCGGTTGGATAGTGAGTGGGCCACTTACAAAACCTCTTCTTTCAGACAAATCAAGCTCTTCTCTAAGGTATTCCCAAAACTTAAGCATACAAACTCAGCTTTCTCGCCTTTGGGAAATAGAGGAGTGTGCTGAGTTAATTAAGTCTACAGAAGAAAAATCTTGTGAGCAGATGTTTACTTCAATTCATTACAGAGACAATGAAGGTCGTTTCGTGGTCTCAATACCCTTGAAGGAACCTGTTTGTAGACTAGGTGACTCAAAATCTATTGCTCTTCAACGGTTTTATAGTCTAGAACGTAAACTTCAGTGGAATGTACAATTTCGAGATCTATACATTTCATTTATGCGAGAGTATCAAAACTTAGGACACATGTCCAAGGTAGAAACGTCGGATCACACAACACAGTTCTTCTTACCACATTATGGAGTACTAAAGGAAGATTCACTTACAACCAAACTGCGAGTTGTGTTCGATGGTTCTCGTTCCTCATCTTCAGGCTGGTCATTAAACGACATTCAAATGGTAGGACCAACCATTCAAAATTATCTCTTTCACATTTTACTTCGCTTCAGGCAACATACATATGTCGTTTCAGCTTATATATGTAAAATATATCGGCAAGTTTCAATTCATCGTCCACAAAGAAATCTTCAGCAGATTTTGTGGAGAAAAAGTCTTCAGATACTCTTTTGGAATTTCAATTAAATACCGTTACATATGGCACCTCTTCAGCGTCATATCTAGCCATAAGATCTATTTTTCAGCTTGCTTTAGAAAATATGAGTGCATCTTCAGCCTCTTCCAAGGTCATCCAAAACGACTTCTACGTAGACGATCTACTTACAGGCTCTGATTAATTAACAGATCTGTCCGATATTTGCAAGGAAGTACCTTCAATCCTCAAACAAGGTTGTTTCGAACTACGGAAGTGGATCTCTAACGAGCCTCAAGCTCTTATACATATTGCGGATTCCAATGTGCAACTTAACACATTGAACTTAGGTTCCAAGGAAAATGCGAAAACTTTAGGCATATTTTGGTCATCTTCATCTGATGTCCCAACTTACAATTCAGAGGTTTTAGTGGACAGCTTCTATAAAACTGTTACAAAACGTCTAACTCTATCCAGTGTCTCTCAGATTTTTGATCCATTGGGCTTACTAAGTCTTTGCGTTATCATAGCAAAAATTCTACTTCAGAAACTCTGGATGGAACGTTTATCTTGAAATGAGTCTGTCCCAGCATATATTTATACAATATGGATAAATGTACGCGATGAGCTTAATTATATTAATAATTTCATAATTCCTAGACATGTAAGATGCAGCAACCCTGTCCTTACTGAACTCCACACCTTTTGTGATGCAAGTGAGAAGGCCTATGGTGCCTATGTTCATCTGCTTTGTGCCAAATCTAAGGTTTTCACACATATGTTTTCAACCTCTATGTTGGCCATTAGGCCGTTGTGACAGCCATTCATCCAGGACAAGATGGTGTAACTCGTGTAGTAACAATGAAAACAGCCCGCGGAGAATGCAAACGTGCGGTTAAAAACATTTCGCCATCACCGAACATTTAAATTTTTAATTTAAGTTAAGGACTTTACAATTACATTCTCTTTAGTTAATAACATTTTAATTTTATTTTTATAATTTTTGTATATACATAATTTGTGTAATGTATTGAAATGTATTTTAAGGCGTGGGGCATGTACGCGCCAATATCCCCTACTTGAGTTTAAATTCGGTGCGCATAGATGCTACGCACATCAACCTAAAGGAAGTCAGAGTTCACCTTCAGAACAAAAGACACACAAATTCAACGAGCTATTTTTAATGCAATAAATACATAGCATTTATAGTGCAGTTTCATTTAATTCAGCAAATACAGAACACTTACTACAAGCGTAAGCTACACAACTGAAACATTTTGGATCCAACATTTGTATTCATAAAAGACAAAAACAAATACACTGTTATGTCCAATTGTTCTAAGTTTTTATAAATGTCGCCATTTAGTATCTGCCGTTTAGAATATTAAAATTTTAATACCATAATTCGTATTCAGAGAGGTCGAAAACGTTCCATTACTGATTTATGTCTAATTCAAATTTTACGAAATTTGGTCCACCATATTGGATTCGATAGTCACAATGTACAAAGGAAAGTTAAAGAATTCACAGGGGACTATAAGACGAAGGCAGAAAGGAAATATAACTGATTCTGAAGGAATTGGACAAACAGAGTAAAATAAGAACGTGAAAAGAATATCTAGAAAAACCATTTGAAGACCAAAGACATAACACCTTTGAGCTAGAAGAAGAGGTAAATGATGGACCAAGAATATTACAGCAGGTTTATTCCGCAATAACACACTTAAAGGATGGCAAAGCGGCAAGCCCAGATAATATACAAGCAGAATTACTCAAAATAATGGACAACGAATCAAAGCAACAATCGCAAAGATATTCAACATACAACTCTGGAGAAATACCAACAGAATGGCTGAAATCTGAGTTTATTGTACTTCCAAAAAACCAGGAGCCAAAAAGCGCTGCTGCAGATAAGATAAAGATTTCCATGATGATCGCCAACATTCGTAACGGATAGGCACATCAAGAAGAATTTTGCCATTTTGCATTTTTCAACTTTGACATCAAATTCGGAATCGGCAAGGTCAAAAATTTTATACAGTATCTTACAGTACTTTGGACATACATACAGTATATCCAAAGAATCCGAAATATATGAAATTTGGGCAGCCATATTGGATCGACCATTTTGAATGTTTCAATTTTGATATGAAATTCGTAATCAGCAAGGCTGAAAACCTTATAGTACACATTCAATATCCAAATTGAAACGTTTTCAGCAATTCGTTCCACTGTGGACTAGAATTCAGTCGAAATTTTAAATTCACACTACTATTTACCCTCCCCTTACCCTCCCCCTAAAGGTCAGAATAATTAAATTTGGGGTAGCTCACCATGCAAGGTTAGGCTTTTTTATCGTCTACCCCTAGTTGACTAAATAGGATACATACAATTAATTCTCACCTGTCCGAGTTTCCCATTTTTAGACTGTTCTCCTTGGATTTGAAGCCTTGTTTTGATTAAATCCAAGGGATATGTAACTGAAACAAAACGTCTTATTTTAAAAATAGTTAACATTAATATATACAGGGTGTCCACAAACTCTCCTGACAAACGAAAAGCGGAGATTCCTCTGATAATTTTAAGACGATTTAACCCAATTCAACTAGTCCGAAAATGGTTCCTAATTTAGCTAGAGCTCTTTGAAGATGGCGCCTTGTAAGTAGTTTTTTTAATAGCACCAGAATGCCTCTATTAAAAAAAAAACGAAACCTGGTACGACTATTTATCCTCCAGAGTTGAATCAATTCCATTAATTGCGAATTTCTAGTACCAGTCGAGAAAATGCTATTACATAACGAAATTGTAACAAAAAAACACGCAATTTTACGTCGTTTAATTAATATTGTATTTTTTTAAGTTGTCAGGAATTATGTAACAGTACGTAAGTCAGGAGAAAATAGTGGATAAAAAAAGCTATATCTTACCAAATTCCGCATTGAAGGCAGCTAAAACTGAAACGATGTAGACACACCATAAGGAATCAACAAATTTAGGAAGCTCGACCTTTTGAGGCGGCACGGATGGCATTTTCACTGAATCTCCTAAGAAAAAAAATGTTGTTAAAAACTTATCTAAATATGAAGAAATAAATAAAAAATACATTAATACATAGTCACTTTTATTATTTACATATGTTTTATATTTTGTCTTTATGGGCAGTTGAAAATAACTTAAAACGTAGGGGAGACCGGGGTTGGTTGTCATAGATTCGCCTATTATATATTTTTTTAAGACTAGTATTACTTGTTTTGAAAAGTGCGCATTACCGTAAGATAGAGTGAACATTACTTCAATATTGCCCTTTTTTCTAGATCCCTAGATGTATTCCAACATACTCATATAAAATAATAAGAGTAGCTCTACAACCTATGTCAATTTACCCCGTGATTGGGGTAAATTGTCATAGCCCTTGGGGTAGGTTGGCATATAGGTATAAAACATAACTTCACTGGAAAAATATACAAAGGAGCAGTAATCAATAATGGGTAGGTATATAAAATAATAGAAGCCGAAAAATATAGGTAAATGTATTTAATAAGAAGGTATGAATTCAAACAACGTTAACTTTTTTTAGTTAATAACATAATTAGAAATCTGTATTTGGAAATACTGTTAGTATTCATCACAATCGCAGTTTTGACATCTATATGGTACAGTATTGCCATCAGTGCATTTGAAGTGCGCTGAAAAGTTGCATTCAATGCATTCGATCCACTGTTCTCCAGGGCGACTATTGGAATGTGGCTCCATGCAAACTAGACAGAAAGCATTATCCTGGTCTGAGTCTTCATCTGAAGATACTATTGAACGCTTTTTCTTTATTTTTCTCTTGAATAAATCTTTTTTAGCATTATCAACCGTCGTTTTGGTTGAAGTGGAAGCAGAGTTTTTTGTGATTCTTTTCTTTTTTCTAGCAGAAACTGCTGCCTTCTTCTCCTGTATTGCCTTTTTTTCCTCTTCTAAAGCTTTTTTGATTGGTGTGTCTGTAAGAATTGCAGTGGAACGTCTTTTTCTTCCTCGTTTGGTATTTGTTTTTCTGTCGCCAGCTTTAGGAAATGGTCTTAAGTTTGTCAATAACTTGGTGCTGGAAGTTGATGGAAGGGCAGAGACACCATCAGGAAATGATATAGCCGATGTATCGTTAACAGATGATATAGGCGAAGTTGCTGATACTGCACAGTAGAATTTGGTAGTTGAGATTGTAAGAGGAATAGAATGTGAATTAACCTGAGTTGGCGGAGTAACTTGAATCGGCACGAGTGGAGGCGGATCACACTGCTCCAAAGACAGATTTAAATCAGGTAGAGGATGGTTAATTGGCACAGTAACTTCATTTAGTTCCGGTCGAGATTGATCAATGAGTGCAGCAGTTTGAATTGGTCGATCTGTAGCAAAAGCAGCCATAAACTCCTCAGGAGGGAATATATCCGATTAAATGGACTTATTCCAGATACTTGAAAGCCAGCCATAATATTCTTTGGAGTAATTGCATTGGGTAGAGCTGACTTCACCACCGCTGGGATATCATATATGGTCATTGTTTGGCCCGGATTATTCGTTATCCATAAATCGCAAGCGGTGTTGATGTATTTTTTTAGAGGACCATAAACACTTCGGTCTAATGGCTGAAGTTTATGGCTGCAATGAGGTGGAAACGATAAAACAGTAACTCCGTTTTGTTTAAAAATATCGAGTGCAGTTATTGACAAATGAGAATCATGATTATCGAGCAACAATAACACTGGTTTTTCTTTTGAACATCTTACGTTGTGTATAAAATGCTCTGCAAATTTTATAAACTGTGTCTCGGTCATCCATCCCGAAGGATTCGCATCACCTATACTGCCAGGTGGACCGCTTCGAACAAAGTGCGCTCGATAGTTTTTCCTAGGAAATATGAAATACGGAGGAATTGAATTGCCTGACGCTGAAACAGCAATGGCCAGTGTCACTAGGGTACCCCGTTCTGCAGACGTTATTCTGCCAATTTGTTTAAATCCTTTACGAGCCACTACTCTATCAGGTTTCTGTACGGTGGTGATACCGGTTTCATCCATGTTATATATGTCACTCGCAGTTAATTTCAGTCGGTCTAAAACTGTTTTAAGATTTTTAAAAAATTGTGACACATTATGTTCATTAAAACTTGAAGCTCTAGCTTGGCTAGTAGCCTCTGGAGTTCTGATGGATAATGTCTGTTGTCGTTTTAAGAACGAAGTAAACCAATCAGGCCTGCCATTTGGTTTGTAGACCAAGATGTTGGAACCGTAATATTAAGAGTCGTAGCATATTGAAAAGCCAACTTTCGAACCTGCTTTGGTGTAAGTCCATAATAAATATCAGATGCAGTTTTTAGATACTCACATAAAGCATCTTCGTCTTGCACGTTAAAGATCTAAAACAATATATCATAGTTATTACCTAAGAAAATTTAGACTCTTAAAAATATTTATACCTGTCTGTTCTTCTGATATCCTACATGCAGCACAGATGGAATACCTCCAAGTTCCGTTTGCAGTATATCCGTTTTCATTTTTTTACAATATCGTGCAAGAGTGCGCACGCCTATATTATAGTCTTGCGAAACAACCTTCAAACTTAACTTATCAATAATATGAGCACGTACAGCTCGTTCCATAACGTCAGCAGGTGTTTTTCCTCGCTCTGTTTTTCTTTTATAGGTTCGCATGGTTACGTCTGTAAATAATTAGATAATATACCTAGTTAGATAATACTTTTGTTACAAAAATACATTTCATAGTTATACACGGGGCAGGTTGGCACATCGTGACAACCTGCCCCATTCATAAAATGCCAACCAACCCCGATGACGGTTTTTCAACTAAAATGGCTAACACGTGTTTACGAATTCATAAACTGTTAATTTGTTTACGCCAGATTAAAAAGCTATCAATATACTTTCATACCATCATCACAGAAAATAACTTAAACGTTTGTACTAGATAATATTAAAAAAAGTGTACGACAACGAAAAATTACTCACCAAATGTAAAACCACAAATCAACACTATATTCACTGGATAACGTTACAACTTCGACTGAAAGTATGGTAATACAAGCGCCAACGGTTTGTGCATGCACAGGTCGGCGCGCTATGTTTTACTATGAACGGCGCGTAATTTAAATGCACAATGTCAACGTACCCCGTATGACAACCAACCCCGGTGTCCCCTACTCTCGATTTCACACATGATTTTTCGTTAACACAACACTGTATGAAGGAAGAGTGTTAGCACTATTATACTTCATTTAAATTGTAATAATTACAACATATATGTATTCATAAATTAGTTTTTTGTGGCTAGTTTAAAAACTATTTTTTAATTATTCTGCGACGTATTAATGCAGTAAATTAACAGCAAGGTGATGGGAATGTGTAAAACATTGCTATTACGAACTTAATAGGGTTACCAACATTATAAAAAGTCTGGAACTTTATGTTCTAGTCTTACTTCTACATTATACAGAATTTAGTCATTTTGGCATCGTTTTCCAGTTACAAATTACTTAAAATTTTAGAATTAGGTATGATCCCGCTAAGAACTTCCAAATTATCTTAACGGGTTTTTTCTTCGCCAACATTAATAGGGGAAGCCGGGGCATAATGAGCACCCTAAGGACATTGGGTAATTTTGATCTTGTTCGTGGTAATATGGAAATTATTTTAGTTCTATATAGTTACATATTTATTATTTTTTATTACAAAATACAATTTTAACCTAAAACTCACTTAACAATAAAAAAATAATACAAAATGTTAAGTTAACAAAAAACCATTATGCCCCGGGTATGGGCACAATGAGCACAGCATTTAAGAGAAGTTTTGCTTATTTCTGGCACTGTTCACAAATATATTTACACTCATCGTCATCGTCCTCTTCTCCAGCACAGGAGCAATGAGCCCATTTTTCGCATACACAACAACTTACCCACCCTTCAGTTGATTGCAAGTATGAGTATCCACAGTATAGACAATCTACATCGGAAACGTCACTTTCCGAGTCATCTTCAACAGTTTTTTGTTTTTTCACATTGGTTTTAGACCTTTTGGCTTCTTTTTTGTGTTTACCTTTTCTGTTTTGTTTTCTTTTTCATCCTCATCATTCTTAAACACTTTTCGTTTTTTAGATTCAGCGTTAGAATTTCTAGCCTCTTTAATTTGAGTTGACTCCATGAGCTCGTTCTTGTAGGGCGATTCTGTTAAAATAGCAGTCTTTCCTCGATTTCTTGTCTGCCTTTGTTTCTTTGTAGTCTTTGGAATGGGTAAAATTTGCTGTGGAGAAGCAAACACAAATTTAGTTGGCTTATCGTTTTGATAAGGTAAATCGTGAAAAGTCAATCTGTTTGACATCCCAGGCTGTGGAGAGTGCTTTCTGCTTTGTGAAGGTGGCGTGTTCTGCCGAGGCTCCATAAATCCAGCATTTTGCGACTGTTCTATATTTGTAGTATCCGCTGCCACAAAATCAGCATCCACAAAAATATTTGGGTTAGGTGGCCATATCCCGGTAGCTTTAAAACCATTTATAGCTATTGACATTGTTCCCGCTCGAATAAACGCCTTTCCAAAAAGTTCAGTCATTTGGTAGTGAGTAACTACTCGACCTGGATTCAACCTTACCAATTTTTTATTTCGTCAGCGTAATAGACACTTAATGGTTTCATGAAGCTTACATCTAGTGGCTGGAGTTTATGGGTACAATGAGGTGGAAAACACAACAGAACTACACCATGCTGTCTTGCAAGGTCAATAAGTTTTAAATTTTTTGTGTGCGTAAAATGGCCATCTAACAATAACAACACAATATTTTCTTTTGAAGCTCTTGACCATGCTACGAATGTTTTAAACCATTTAACAAACAAATCACCTTGCATCCAGCCTGAATCATTACACTCAGCCCAAGACCCTGTTGGTGCGCCATCTAACAGTTCCGGCTTCATTCGACAAAGATCCAACTTGCTTTTTCCCTTTGGTTGCGATAATTTTATGGAGACTTTTGGCAACAGTGGTTATGCCAGTCTCA